TATTAAGTTAAAATCTAATTTTATACTCGCACGTTATGCAGAAATTGTAAGATTTCATTTAAAGTGACACTTTTTTTTAATACTAGATACTAATTAAAATTTAAAATTTATTATTAAAGAAATATGTATGTATGCTGTTGTAGTTATTTCATTATTTTTAATTATTACTAAAGGAATTACGAATCAAATCAAAAAAAATAGTATAGTGCTTGATTGATTCTGATTTTTATCCAACTCTTAAAGACTAATAAAGAATCAAAAAACTGAATGTAAAACAGACTGATTGAATTTAGAAATTGTAGTTTCGAAAAAAAAAATAAATAAAATCGCACTCTGTTCTTAAATTTTGAGGTTTGAGTTAGATTCACCAGTTCGCTTCGCCAATTATTCTTACTGATTGTATGTTTCGCCTTAAAAAAACCCTTTCACAAACACTGTGAGTTTATAATGCGTAAACTATTAAAGGATTCACAAGGTGTAATAAGTAATGACGTCACGTCATAGTGTCAATTCTTTTTAGCTGTTTAAAAATGTTGTGAATTATGACAAATATGACACTGTTATGACATGATGAGAATCACCTTCAAAATCTGTAAAATTATACGCACTTCGGAAGCGGCGTTCCAAAACATCTGAAGAAAAGTTTAGCGAAGGAATAGCATGCAATAGATGAATTTTTAAAACATCTAATTTACAAACCCGATTTACAGATTGTTGCGTATAATTTGAGAAATTCCAATGGCTCTCTAAATTCAATCAATACTGTTGAACTTAAAATTGATATTGTTTGAAAATTAACTAAGCAGAAATTCCTTTTCAGTGGCAAAAGGATGTAAACAAAATTATAACGTTGACGAGTTTAAAAAAAAAAAAAAAAACGTTTTCCTTTGACAGTACTGTTTTCAAGTTATTCAACGTCCTGTCGTTAAGTTGATTAGCTATTGTCGTCACCGTTATTAAACGCTCACTGTTCAACGCAAAAGCGGCTAGTGTAAGGTGTAAGTATTAATTCAAGCGAGCAGCAAACGGTATCAAGTTAATTGTTTGTGATTTCAGTGACAACAGTTTCCAGTTTTTGATAACTGGTATATTTTTTGGTAGGTTTGTGGTGTGAGGCGAAACATCAGAAAATTCGGTATTACAAAGTTATTTCATATACTAATACGTTTTGTTATTTTTTGTTTCACAAATATGTATGTTATTTATGTATAAAGTAAGTATATATATATCAAGTTTTCAATCAACACATTTAACAAATGCTACAACAAAATTTTTTGTAATTTAAAAAATATGAAATTTAATTATCAATTAAATAAGAAAGACGAAAAATTATGAACCTAAAACCCAGAGCAGGCACAAAAAGTTGAAGACAAAAAATCTTTAGCTTATTTTATTATTATTTTTTTATTTGCTTTCTTCAAGAGTGGTGTTGTTGGCGAAATCGCATCGCTATGAAGCAAAAAGGAAAATTGTCAACTTTTTGAGCATCTGATTTTTTGCCTTCACAATTTAATTACAATTCGTCAAATATATTTTTAAATGATAATATAGGATTGTTATATAAACTACATAGCTAATAAGATTTTTTTGTGTATACATGTGGAATTCGCATTTTTTTCCAACGCTGAGAAACATGCAAATGTGACGTTTTTCTCACGGTTTATAATAAATTTAAAATAAAATTTGGATAAAAATATTGTAAAACATATCTTAAAAAACTTCAATGGGTCAAAACAAAAAAAAAACAAATAGCATTTTACACACATTTTGTAATTCGTAAATATTCAGCCTCATTGCGAGTGTCGTGTCGACTGCATGTCGTTTTTCGAGCGGAGTCCTATTGAAAATTGTATAGCATTGCATAAAATGATTGCTCGACCAGTTTATTAAAACGGAAAATCTTGGTATCATCGGATAGCTTTCGACAATTTTTGCCTTCTACTTATTTCAGCAGAACAGTATGCAGTGCCACCAGTCGTGGAATTTAGTGTAATTTACGACATACGCAATGAGGTTGAGTGTTTAAACAAAATGTGCATAACAAACCAAGAATGCTGCGGGCTTGTTCGAATATCACGTTCGGTGTGAATTTCTATATAACTTTGCATCAGTTCTGCATATTACAGCTTTTGTTATGTGCCTCGAACAAGCCCCGTTCTTCACGTGTTAGCGAAAACTGTAACTACTAAATTTGCTTTAGATTGAATGTAACGAAAGTAGTGAATATCAACTAACACGCCACCGTTTTGTTTTTGTTTATGACACCAATATCGTACCGTATAGCTAACAAGGGCCCTAAAACATTATGCGCTTCAGTCGCTAAAAAAAAAATTAAATACGAGTTTACTAAGATATTTAAAGTTATGTATCATTAGTTCAAGTTACTTATGTCAGTGTATATATTTTTTTATTTTAATATTGAAAAAGAAAAAAATGTTCGACTTTTTGTTTCAGTTTGGTTGATTTAACGTTCCACAAAAAAAGTTACAGATTACTTATTACGTTTTAGAGTTGTATTTACGCTACGCTGATGTTGCTTTTAATATCTTAGGTTTGCATAAACAAAATCCATTTTTAAAAATACATTAACATTAAAAGTGACGAAGTGTGTGTATCTTTTTTTAAACTTTAAATCCTTTTATTTTCAGTAAAAATCTAGTTAAATTTTTTTGTCAAATGGTGCTTTCGTTGAAACACAATAAATTGTAACAACTTTTATTCACGCTTTAACGTCGCCGTCGCGCTTTTGAATAATGTAAAACATGCAGCTGTTATTTAATCGTTTTCTCAAATATATTTAGGTCAGACATTGATGCCCAAAAAGTTTGTTGATTTTTAGGGATGTTGAATTTCGAAAATTTTTTATTAAATGTTTTATTATATAAAAGTGTATACATATGTATCGATCGGGAGCGGTTTCTTGTAATTTTTTTTTTTTACATACCACGCTTCTAATGGCTGCCAATTTCAAAAAAAAAAAAACTGGTCTACTTAGTATGTTATTAGTCTGAAATCTGAAGTTGGGTGTGAATTATCCTACAAACTTTGTTGGTATTGCAAATAAAAGAAATTCATAATTTCGTAGTGTGTACATGAGCGGCTTTCATTGCAGCTGGTGATGCAATAATGTTTAAGGCGGGACCCTATATTTGCGTAAAACGCTGAGTTCATGAAAATGCTTCCGTTATTTTCTTACTACGATGTAGGGAAAGCGTCAAATGAGCCGCACGCTCGTACACACACTCATTTTTCCAGCCGATCAATATGGTCACAACGGCTGTTGTTGCACAGCAACAAGCTCCTTTCTTGACCAGATCTTTGCGGCGTAAAGTGTCATATCACTTTCAGGGATGTTCGTTCATTAACATTTTTAGTTGCGTTTGGGCACGCAGTCTATATAAAATCATATAGAACAGTGTGCAAATAAAGATATGCATATATATAACAATTATATGTGTACATATGTATATATTCAATAAAAATATATTTACTTATATGTAAGTATACAGTTGCATACGAAAATATATGCGTCTCAAAAGTATATATGCATCACTATCATCAGGCATGTTGTAATAGGCAAGTGAACAAACAAGTATGAAATATGCTGCACGCACACTCACAACAACTACACACGCCAAATGACAATAATTTGTTAAAATAATAACATTTATGTAACTACAGTACAAAGAGAAGATATTTTGTCGAATGCTTTTACTACCTTTTTTATATTTGACTTAAAGTCGAAAGATAGACGTTAGTTTATAACTATTATACAATCTTCCATCTGTGGTCTCTATATCGTTGGGTAAAACGTAAGCAGCAGTTATTCATAGCGCCGATGATACAAAATACTACAGTACGTTTGTGCATTGGCTAAAGCTAAGGCACATATGCATAAATCCGAGATGCGCTTTATTGATGGGCTAAGTGTAGTGTACTTATTGAAGCCAACGATTGAAAAAAAAAATACCTTGGCTTAAAAAAGTAGAATTTGCGAATTAAGTCTCCTTGCAAACAGTATTTTAGATACATGTGACTACAACCCCATCTTTGCTCATCTGTCAATTTTGGCACATTGAGATGACAGTATCAATATGCATTCCCATCTCTTCTTAGCTATTAAGGCAAAATAGAGGTATTTGTTTGCAATTATTTTTATTACTTTTTTGCTTTGTTCGTGTTGGTATGTACTTGTGTACATATTATGATGATAAATGCTCTAGACGGAACCATTAAAACATATACTTGGGACGTATTGAGTTCGCTTTGCTCCTTATGCATCATTAATTTATTGTATTTGCATGTACATACATACACTCATGAAGCACTTGATATATTTTTAAAATACACTCTTCGTCAGTTTACTTGTTGTTAATTAGGTGCAACTACTCAAATTACGCGCTGATATTGAACGCAGTCGATAATTTTCCGTAAATGTTTTTTTTTTTATTCGTACTCACTACTTTTTTCTTTTTCAAATATATATGTTAACAGTTAAAGTAACAATCAAAAAGTTCTGCATCATAATGGTTTTTTTTTTATCAATTTACAAATGTATTAGTAAATCAAAAGTCAATGCCAACTTAGTGTATACATATGTATGTATGTACTAAAATATGTATCAAATCTTTTCATTTTTAGTTTTTAAGATAACTACGATATATATAAATATAAATACGTTTTTGTTTTTGTTTTTCATCTTCGTGATTGAAAGTAAAATTTTACAACACTAGTTTTTGGGTGTTTGGAAAAATATCCAATGAGGGGATCATGCGCCAAGTAATAACAAGTAGTTCACATTGATAATGCAATATTATCATTTTTATACTGCATATCATTTAACATGTTATTACTCAAGCAGCGATGAAGAAGTGGTCTTATAGTTATTCTTTCTTACTTATATTGTTGGTAGTTATTGCTATTTTTATGGTGATAACCGGAAGGGTTATTATAACTGTAATTTGAGTTTGATTGTAAATTGCTATGTGTTTGGTATTTACCGTATCCATAGTCGTAGCCATTGTAATAGCCACCGCTGTAGTAGTCTCCATATCCAGGATCATAACCACCAGCATAACCGCCATATGGGGCATAACCGCCTTGACCAGGCCATTGTGGATATCCTAAGAAAGAAAATAACACATGAATTACACTTCACAACAGTGAAATTTTTCATCTAAATTCTTTTGGAGCTGTTCGTAAAGGTGCCATAATTATGTATATGTAGGTTTCACCGATCGCTCGGGTTCGGTAACAATTTCGGACAAATAACTTAGATTCGGATATTGTCAAAATTGTCAAAGGTAATTATATAACTGCATTAGGGAAATTTTACCTCAAAAACAACTCACATAAATTACGTAATGAAACTTTTGGTCTGAATCCTAGTAGCTTGTGGGATAGACATTATTCAGAGCAGTGATAAGCATATTTAAATACTTTTGTAGTAGATATTTGGATGCTAACTATCCTACGTTAGTGAAATATTTAATTTCACATTAAACAACTTTTGCAATTATCTAATCATTCTCGGATTGAGATGGTGTTATAGAACTAATACATATGTTAAGAGTAAGAATATAGGCTGACTAGGTGACTACAAAATGATTAGAGCTGCTTATCACTTAATATTGATAAATCAAATTTAATTAAAATTAAAAAATAGATATACAGTATTGACCAATACAATAGCATCCCCATTTCATAGTGATATTGTTTGCCCTTCATGTTAATTTATTTTTAGGAATTTTCAATTAAAATACAGTTCATTCTCTTACAAAACCCTATAAAGTCAAGTTTAAAACTTTGTAGGAAACTACAAAAAAAATTCAACAAATTTTCACCCAAATTTCCAACTTTTTTCTCCAAAGTGTTAAGAGTTTTCTTGAGTACCATTGATTCTTTAGAATTTTTTTCGCCGAAGGTGTTGCGGGTTTCTTCCATATAAAAATAGCCACTTGAATTTTCCACATTATCAGACTGTAGTATTTGAATCAAGTTTGCTTTATTTATTAAATATTTGAATTCAAAAGTAATACCTAAACTAAACTTACAGTATCGGTCATATCTATAGCACGCCATTTCATAGTGATATTGTGTGCCCCTTATGTTTATTTATTTATTTGTAAGAATTTTCAATTAATATTTAGTTCATTCTCAGACAAACCCCATATGTACCCAAGTTCAACAATTTGTAGAAAACTACAAAAATGTGTAACAAACTTTCACCTAAATTTGAAACTTTTTTCCCGGAAGTGTTAGAATTTTTTGAGTACACAGTTTTTTAGCCCCTGCAATTTTAGTCTGATAATGTGCAAATTTCAAGTGGCTACGAATCACCGTTAATTTTTTAGAATTTTTTTTGTCGCAATGGCTTCCATATAATGAATAAACTCAATTTATTTGTATATGGAAGAAAACCGCAACACCTTTGACGAAAAAAATTCTAAAAAATCCACGGTAACTTTTGGCCACATGAAACTTGCACATTAGAAAAATTCAAACACTTCCGAAAAAAAAGTTTGAAATTTAGGTGAAAATTTGTTGCACTTTTTTGTAGTTTTCTACAAATTTTTAAACTTGGGTTTATATGGGTTTTGTTAGAGAAAGAACTGTATTTTAATTGAAAATTCTTAATAATAAATAAATAAACATAAGTGGCACACAATTTCACTTTGAAATGGCGTGCTATAGATATGACCGATACTGTATGTTGTGTACTCAAAAACTGAAAAGGCGTACAATTGAATTTCACAACTAATTCTCGTTTAGAACATACGATGGTTTCAATCTATGGTCACCGTGATAGGTTTGGCTTTAACGAGAATTGTAAATGTTTTCAGATGGCGCTCCAGTACCTTAAAAAGTATCGAGCTTTTAATGGTGTCCTCACATCCCGTAAGAAAACATATTTGCATAGCCGTAAATCTTTGGACACTTAAACCACCTTACTACCATGAGTTGATGTGGCGATAGGACGAATTTTTTCGAAGTATACGTGGAGTGTCGAAAAAAAATTCGCCCGGTAGCTTCATCGCTATGTTTATATGCTCGAACCGTTTATCAGGCACTGAAAATGTCTGAAGTTCGCTACGTGTATGACGCGTAACTTTACACCGCTGACATTGCTGAAAATTCACCACCAATGCTCGTATATCCGAGTTCATACTCTTCTTCACGAATTTGCTTGCGATTAGCTTGACGCAAGTTTTGACGCCCGGGTGAGCAAGCACTTGCAGGGCCTTAAATATCACCTTACGAAATGATTTGGCCGAAGTCTACCGGTGGAGATGTCGCAGACTATATCTATGTCAGAGTTCTACAGCCTGTGCTTGCTTAACTGCAACGCGGTCGAATTTGACTACATCAAATTTTTAAGCTCGCCGCGACTTGATTGTTCCTCTCGAAGTACCGCATAGTTTGTCGATGAGTTATCAATATTCTCTATGCGTTATAGCATGTCTGCAACTATACTATTTTCGCACAGAACATCCACTATTTTAACCGTAAATTGGCTAATAAAATCTAGCTGTCGTGCCTGCCAGCTGTTTTGCCTTTTTTTCTGCTTGTGGTCAGGTCAGTATAAATATAAATTGCGTGCCTTCCAACAAATAGCGGAAATATTTCACAATGGAGTAGATCACCATTCACGATCATATGTACTATCTATATCGCTGCTGCGTCTTGCTGAATTTTCTTGAGAAAAATTCCAGCGGCTGCCAATCACCTTACATTCGTTTTTGGAGCACCGCTCCCATTGCCTTATCCGACGCATCGGTCATGTGTGCCATCTCACCACTAGCAAAGCTGCATTTGCTAATTGGTGTTTTACCTTTTTAAAAGCCGTCCAATTTAACAAAGATTCGCTTTTTTCAAGGTCCCAATATCTTATGTAGGGAGGGGTGTCTTAATCTCGGCCGCATGTGGTAGAAAAAGCCGATAAAAGTTAACAGCGCCTAAAATGCTCTTAGCTCGTGTGCCAATTAGGGCATAGCTTGAGCGATAAAAGTTTCCACGCGGATCGGTAGTGGCTTAATACCACTTGCTGACACGGAATGCCCCAAAAATTTCACTGCTGGCAAACCGAGCTGACTTTTTGTCCAGGTTGATCACTACTAATCCCTTTGCGCGATATCGGTCAAAGAGTTTTCCCAGTTGCCCTACATGCTCCTCAACTGACGTTGATGCCACCTATGTGTCGTCCAAATAGGAAAAAACGAAAAGTAGATCTCTATGCGTGTCGTCCATAAACCGCTGAAACGTCTGGGCTGCATTACGCAAGCCAAACGTCATATATCGGAACTCAAATAGTCCTAATAGTGTACTGATTGCGGTCTTGGGCACATCTGCTGGATGCACCGGTATTTGGTGGTATGCATTTTGGCAGTCGATAACAGAAAAATTTTTCTTTTCAGATAGTTCGCTAGCGAAGTCCTGCATGTGACGGATTGGGTATTTATCCGGGATGGTCTTACGAGCTCAGTCGCCTCTAGTCGCCGCAAGGACGCCAAGTGCCATCCGCTTTCTTCAATAGGTGCAAAGGACTGCTCCATTGCAATTGATAATTAAATTCTCTTTTAGCTTTTCCGGTGGTAACCTACGCACCTTTTGTGACACTAGCGGTCCCTTTGTCTTGATGAATTGACATATGTGTTCCAGGCCCTTTACGTGGCGCTGGCTCCTTCAACAGACCAACATATCGGATAACAAGGTCATGAAACACGCAGGTCGATTTAATTGTCGTTATATTTTGATGTTGGCGGGATATTTTACACGCGCTTCGTAGGTCTGACCCATTGTGAACAAACACCTTGTCTCTTACGTCGATAAGCATGCCGAAATGCTTTAAAAAATCTGCTCCCAATATAGGATGCGTCACGTCAGCGATGGTGAATATCCATGTTGTTTTTGTCCGTACGTATTTATACGAGTATTGTTTGCTGCTGCTAATTTTACTAATGGAGCTTGAGAATTGTCGTTATTGTTGCGTGGCGACACAGATATTTCTGCTCTGGTATCCACTAAAAAATAAAGTTTTGAAAGTCTGTCCTTAATGAACCGACATGCGTCAGGCCCTATCATTTGATTAGTCGCCGAAAAAGACGGGTCAACTAGTTTTCCTGTGCTTCAGGTCGAAAATTACAAGGTGTACCTGGTGGCACGGGCACCAAATCTGCGATGATACCAGCACAACTCGCCCGATGGTGATCTTACATTACAAGAACGCGCACGAGGCGAATAGCTACGCTAACGGTTTGTAGCACGAATAACTGGTTCTGGCACTCCAAGTTCTAAACACTCCAATCGCTTGTTCAATTCCACGATTGTACCTTGCAAAGATGCGAGGCGCCTACATCGCCACTAACAGCATTAATGCCAGAGTCATCAGCGACCGCCATATTGGCCCTTATTATGAAAGTCAAATTCGTATTATGACCTATGCAAGCGTGTCGAAATTTTCGTTGAGTATCGAATTTTCTGTCGAACAGAATTTTGCTTTCGTTGGTGTAGCGAAATGTTAGAAAATTGTGAAAAATTTATAATTTTGCATTTGTTTACCACTTTTTGGCGGCTAGCCACTAATTTAAAACATTTTTTATTAATTTCATGCAGTTCTAACGTCGTGAATACTAAACACAAGCTCGAAAGTCTGGTTTTACCTATGAAAAAAAATCGTCAATACGCTGTTTGCACGATCTCTGAGAAAGAAATCATCGAGTTGTTTAGTTTTAATATATTTTAAATGGATTTGGATCACAAAATTTCTTAAATATATTGTATGTCAAAATATATTCGAAAGACTGCCCTTAATCTCTTTTAAAGCTTAAAGCTCCAACAGACGGCAGCGTTAATCCGGATTAACTCGACTTAATCCGTATTAACTCGGACTTAATCCGGATCAACTGCAGTTAGTTCCCGAGTTGATCCGGATCAACGCTGCCGTCTGTTTATGCTTTTAAACGTTTTCTGCTCCCAACCAGTTTTCTAAGCTCTAATCCTCTGACGAATCGTTCAACCAGAACTCCGTTGTACTAATTAAATTTTTTTTACCTTGTTTTTATTAACTCGCTTTCCTTTTATTTCATTTTAATTTGCACAAATTTACATATGTATATATGTATAAGCATACTATTTTGTTTGCTCCATTTGTTAACAAGGTGCTCGCACGAGATGATTTTGCGTTTAACTTTTGCGTTCAACTCACGCAGGGTTGCACGAAAAAAACGTTCAATGGCTAAATGTTGGCTGGTGACCGCATTTTTTTTTCGTGCAACCCTGCGTGAATTGAACGCAAAAGTGGCCTGAAAAATCGCCTCGTTCAGAGAATTTCAGAATGCAAGTGTCTACCGTGCATCGTACGAATTCATAATAGGGGGGTAAGTTACGAGTAAAATATGAATTTTTCTGCAACATTGTGACCATACCTTTACTAACTTGTCTACAACAAAACTAAATACAAATTTAAATACATTTAAATATACAAAGGCACCCGGAAAGATAATACATATAAAAATAAAAAAATACAAAAAAGCAGCAATTTTATTTTGGCTTATTGCATTTCCAGAACTTACCACCACGTCCAAAGCCGCCGCGTCCACCACGCATACCACCGCGACCACCACCACGCATAGCCATCATTTGGTTTTCGGGTTTGGGTGTCGCACGCTTGACATCTACTTCCTTGCCAGAAATTTTCTGCTTAGGCGTCTTCAACAATTCATTTACGACCTGTTCAGAGTCGAATGTGATGAAACAGAAACCTTTACGCTGCGACTTTTGCTTATCGAAGGGCAATTCAACATCAACAATCTATTCATTATTATTCCGAAAGACGAGAAAAAAGAAAACATACATATTACTTCGTATACAAGCATTAAAATCGCATTTCTAACCCATTATTTTGGTGTAACTTACATTTCCGAATTGGCTGAAGTATGTTTTGATCTCATCATCGCTGATTTCATTGGTTAGACCGCCGACAAAGATTTTTCCATGACGCGCTTTGGCCTTTTTAGGATCAACCTTTTTATTGTTGATGACGTGCTCACCAGCAGCGTGCACCTTGTCGATAGCTTCAGTACTGGTGAATACAATGAAAGCAAAGCCACGAGAACGGCCAGTTTGCGGATCTGTCTTTACGTTTATGCTCTCAATCTCGCCGTATTTTCCAAAATGTTCACGCAGTTCCTCTATAAAAACAAAATTAGCATGAATTAAATTTAACATATTATGTAAATGTATGCATCAGTTTTATTCACTTACTCTCAGATGTCTCCCAGCTAAGACCACCGACAAAAAGTTTTCTGTAACGACGAGAAGATAATCAATTAGTTTTAGTAACCATTTAATCATTAAATATAGAAAAACTGAATCGTGTTGCAACATGAAAAAAATATAAAATTTTACTTTCAAAAAATTTTGGAAAGTTACATTTATTATTTTCGTGAAAGGAGGTACTTAAATTTACTTTTATTATGGACGAATATACACTTCAAAAATACATCAAACTCACCTAATCTCTGCGAGCGAAGAGCACAGAGTCGTTAAATTTCTTTTAGATGTGAATACAAATTAAATTCTTTAGTATAAATAAATGAATGTAGTCGAGAGATGAGGAAGTCAATAAGTGAAACAATATTATATCTTAATTCATAGAAACAGCAAAAGTTTAGGATTTTTATTTTGTATCGATTAAACTAACGTTTGATGATTCACAGAGCATGAAATCAATTTATAATGTAAAAGGCCAAAACTGCAAAGACTGAATAATATTGTAACCGGATCGAACCTTTGAAACCAACAACGACAACCGATAATCGAATACTACATAAGTTACTATTATGCATACTGAGTGAAAGTTATATTTTTTAGGGTTTTTTTTTTTATTATTCAAGCTGTTTAATTCAATTCTTACGCAAGAAACATTAATTTCTTTTTCCCGAAGCTGGTGTAATACACATCCATATATATGATATGCAAGTTTTGAGTATACGAATTTGCGATTTAAAACATCAACCAGGTGAATTGAATACTTTTTTAAATAAGCACTTCGAAAAATATTAAAATAATTCATGGCAATCCAATTCTTCAAGTTAAAGTTAATTTTGTGTATCTTGTATGGTTTTCTTCTGATTTATTTTTTTGATAGATAAATACCATCGACAAAATTGCCAGTTTGATGGTGCGATGATGCCGCCAAATACCATGATGATGTCCGATTCGTTTCTCATCGAGTATTCTGAAGTGATTGTTACTTCTTATATAGAGCTTGAAAATAATCTTACACACTGTTTCTTGAGTGTTGTATACGATCGATCGCATTGAATGTGCGCCACACTGTGATCCTCTGCCTTAACAGTGTACGAACATTAAGTTGTCTCTGCTCTCACATTTTGTAATGCGTCCATGATTCGTTTCGCTGCTGATGCCTTCGGTGTCTATCGCTTGTAATTTGTAGATGATGTGCTGATATTCCCATAAGCGTAGCTACAAATCGCTTGCTTTAGGATCATCACTCAATACCTGCCGGAGAGGAACAAGATTAGTTCGCTCAAACACAACAGGAAAGCAATGATGGTAAATAGGGTATTTTTATCCTATCGCAACAACCTTGCTATAATGCTCTTTTTTGTTTAAATTACATTTACATTTCGGGTACTGCATCGATGTCGGGTAAAAAATTGTCTAAAAACCAGTTCATTTTTACTCCATTAGCTTATACATTTGTTTTTTTTTTTTAACATTACATACTTTATTTTGAGAATATTCCGATGAAATTTGGTTCACATTTAGTTTTACGTCTTCTTTTAGTTAATAGTATTTCTCCAGGATGCTTAAAATCTTAAAATTTATACATTAACAAAAAATAGTAAAATTTTATGATTGATTTCGCCCAAAAACTCGAACCAGTTCTGGCGACACTTGATTGGATTCTGGCAAATACTAATCCCTTAATATATTGACTAATATTCAGTTAATGCAGAAATCTTACTGATATTCAAAAATATGAAGAAAACAAACTTTTGCTAAATTTGATAAATCAATTTTATTTTATTTTACATATTCAATTAAATTTAATAGTTTAGATTATAATAGACATTAAAAACTAATATTAACAAACTTTTTTCGCTAAATTTTGCAGCATAATTGATATTTGCAATATAACACATGTATGTATGTACATAAAAATCAGTTAAAGCTTATAAAATAGGTTAACTAACATTACTATGAAGTGGAATTCTTACAATATGAAGAAATTTGCATATTTTCCAATAATTTACGTCTAACGAATTTTGCCAGAAATCCAACCACTTTTATTCAGGATGAAAATCGGTTTATATTTGCACAGTAATTGATAATTTATAATTATATTGCACGGAAATCGATCGAATATAAATATGAAATCAAATTCTCTTTTAGCACGAAAAATCAAATTAAATCGTCTACAAATATTCAAAAGTTCTCAGGTGTCATCCCTACTGAAAAGTACCTACTCAGCTAACACCCCTTTCTCTTTGATCTGGCCACGTTGTAATTGCGCTTTTCCTGAGCCTACCGTTAATTGGGCTAGACGAGAGCGGCTAAGTCCTGATCGATCTATGTAGTGTCATGTAAAGTAAACAACGACGACTTCACAATCACACAAAAATCACATAAACAAGTGGGATGAAAAATTGTTCACAAAAATAAAATTGGGTAGAAGAGTAAGCCGATTTTCCAAAAATACCTTGGCAATTCATTAACTAGGCATATATCAAGGCACATTAAACAGGTAGTATCAGTAGGGCAAAAACAACATTTGCGTGTATTTTGTTGTTGCTTCTGGTATCGAAAGTGTCAAAAACTGTTCTGAATTTTTTCTTCTAAATCAAAGCGTGCCATGTGAAATACAAAAAATTATAAAAAATAAAAAATTGAAATTGGAAAAAATAAAAATTGATGCAACTTTCTTTCCTAGTAAATTTGTTTGCTTCTCGAAGCATTGATCCATCCTTTGCAAGGCCCAGTAATCAGCGGTTGTGCTGCTGAGTTGGGCGAACATTCCAAAAGCTGCTATTCAATCGCTTGTTTTGTATGGAAAAAGGTTTCACATGCAAATGGATTTTAACAATTCAGAATTTTTGGTGAGAAAAAATTAAAAATATTTTACATTTTCGAGACCAAATAATTTGAAAATAAATCAAATCAGCTGCTCTACTGATACTACCTGTTCAATGTACCTTGGCATATATATACACCTATAGATTATATTACAAAAAAAAGGTTAAAGCGGAAATGCAAGATAGACAGCGAATTCCCACTGTTAAAACGGGACGGTTTTGAACCGAAATAACGGTTAATCTCTTAATTAACCGAACCAAATTTTCCACAAATATTCGATGCGAACCGAAAGGTTTAAATGTTAGTCTCGACCAATTTTTAAGACAAATTTCGCCACTTTTTATTTTTTCTTTTTTTAAATATGTTAATAGCATGTTTGTTTTACCTTTTCCGACTTCAAAAAAAGGTGGAGTTTATCAATTTGTCGAAATATTTTTGTTTGTTACCACATAACTTTTGACCACGGGTCTTTTTTTTGACATAACTCGAGAACCACTAGTCCGATTTTGCTCAAACAAATTTAAAAAAATTAAAAATTATAATTCCTTTAATCTGTTCATGTAACGTTTTTCTATATAATCAACAGTTTTGCCGGTAAAAATAAATGTATGAAGAAAATAAAAATTTTTACTGCCTAGAATATTAAATTTTTTTAAAACTGTTGATTATATAGAAAAACGTTATATGAACAGATTAAAGGAATTGTAATTTTTAATTTGTTTGAGCAAAATCGGACTAGTGGTTCTCGAGTTATGCCAAAAATTGACCACCAAAGGTGACAACTTCCCCTATATGATAGTTATACATATATATATCTCGATTCCTAGACGTGACCCAGCGAAACGCCGGGACACGTATAACTTCTTTTTTACCGATATAACTTTCCCCGGTAGTTTGAACCCTTCCCGACCACTGACCCCTACCATTTGTCTCACAGTGTTATCAGTGTTTTAAATTTTCTCATAATTATCGCGATCTAATATCTATGGGTTGAAGATGATAAAGTTCATGCAGAAGAAAGAGTATCGTTAACGTATTTCTAAAAATTTCTATTTATTTTCCCAAAATTAAGCTGTTTGATTTAAATTTTGAATAACGTCCTTCTTATACAACGGTCTCGTATAAATAAACAAGTAATTTTTAAGCAAAAAACAAAACCGACTTCAATTCTCATATAACAATTTATGATTATCGTTTCGGAATTATCGAAATCGGTTAAAGTGATTTAAAGTTATGCGGTAACATATGCACAAAAAAATATTCCGACGAACTGATAACCTTCTCCTTTTTGTGAATTCGGTTAATAAAGAATATTACACGCTTTATGCGCAATAAAAAATATATTGCTTTGCTACATACATCATAGTATATACGTAGGGATGCAAACGATGCATCGATATTTTTGAAACATCTATAATATCGGTTCAAAATTTGATGTTTGCCATCGATGTTTAAAACTTCGAAAAATCGCTAAATTGACGATACATCGATGCCAGTTGCATTGGCTATGAATTTTATTACTTATTCTTTTGAGGAACATTCAGATATTCCGAATTTACTATTATCTTTCGATATTAAAAATGCTTACTTAGGCATGCATTTCCACTGTATTTATATGAATGGTGAATAAATACAAAAGGATATACACTTGTGATCAGCTAATTAGGCCAGCAATATTTTGATCAATTTTGGTTATTTTTCTTTTGTTTATTTAATGTTTATTATTTTTCCATAATAGTTTAGTTCATTATATAACAAACACCACATAAATCCAGATTTCACACTTTGTGCAAAAATTATGAATAATCTGCAAAGTTTCAGATAGGTTTTCAACTTTTTATTCAGATTTTTTAGTAAGCAGTTTAATAGCCCATTAAATTCTTGGGTAAAAATGTACAAGTCTTAAGTTGCTAAAAAATCGCGTTGATTTTTAATATTTTTTTTCTGACTTCATGACGCATTTTTTTCCATACAAAAAAAAATTGTCGAATTTACACATTAACATACACGTCAGAAGAATTAGGCATGGGAAGAAATTGTTGGTGGTATATAAAACCAGTTTCCAATTTAATTGTCCATAAGTATTAATTTTAAACCTATAACAGGTAATGCTGCCTTGAGACAGTTGATATTTGTTTGGCGCAAAAAGCGTTGGAATATTGTCTAAACGGCGTGTGACACGATTGGTACATTTTTTATATTGGACATTAGTACATACAAAATAAAATAATTGGGACAATAATTTTTGTAGTCACAAGATTAGTGCAATATATTAAAATTTAAACGAACAATTTTTGTACAAATTGTTTGTCATGATTGAGACAAAACCCAATATTTGGGCGAATGCCCAATTGTATTACACGGCCTAAAGAAATTTCATTTAACATTTTTTAGCCCTTAGCTGTTTAGAATTGACTTTATTCCCATTTTATTATCAAACATGATAAAATAATTTTTAGAACCATGTCTGTGACAAACACGCAATGTGGCCACTGCTAAGATATAGAACTTGGGGATTTTAGCTTGTTATTTTAGATATTTTTTAAAAGAACATGAAACTATACAATAAAGCAAATACGCAAATGGATGTATAGAATTGACAACAACCAATCTGTCAAGTTTAAATAGCGCCAAATCAGCTGCACTTGTAGTTGGTTGAATAAGAAAAATGAATTAGCAACAATAGTTTACTTGGTGTACATAGCTCAGTGGTTAACGCTTCTGAATTTGCACATCGATTACGCAGGTCCGATGCCTGCTAGATCTAGAAAAAAAGAAGGCTGATGAGATGTGATGATCTCCGAAATAGCTGCTATAACTTCTACCGCTTAGACTTCGTTGATTTTTCAATTTTCCCTAATGAACAATCATGGTACAAAGCTCAATAAAAATATTAAAAATAAAATGTGAGAGAGTAAACTTATTTTTACGCTCTAATTACCGGATCAGACCGAAAAGCGTGTGGAACAAAGCTAATGTTTCGCAACTCTGCATATACAAACAGTTTGAATACCACAGTATCCAAACATTGCATTGATACATTTGTCCTCTCTCAGATACGTCAAGTCTTGAAAGCAATTTTTTTCGCATTCTCTTTTATGTTTTCTATTTGCTTCCACACGCATAAATTTTAATTGAATTCTACTAACTTCCTTCGCTTACGAACGATTGAAAGCAAGAGTTGACGTTTCTGAAAGGGGACTTTTGGAAGTCAGCTTAACTTTCCTTTAAGACCCATTTCAGACACGTCAAGACTTGATTTCAAGCCTGCTCGTTCGTAGGCGAAGGGGATGAGACGAATGTACTCTTCCCCTCTCTTCGCACCTCCTTCGCCAACGGACCGAGCAGACTTGAAAGCAAAACTTGACTTATAGAATATAATTATTTGCATTTACGCAAAAAATATGCGACATTTTTTTAGTTGTGGCTGTTCTAAAGAGGATGAACGATATGTTAAATGTCTCATGATGCAATAATACAAGGTGTTGGGAGGCTGGTAGCTTCTCGCTCTAATTCCGAAATATTGACTGCCTTAGATGAAACCGTGTTAGTTTTTTAACAATTCTTTGCCTAATTTAGTTGAATGTTTGTTTTTTCGCAGTATATGGGTATTATATGGGTATATACGTCGCATATTGGATTATTTATTATTACGTTTTATGAAATTATTCAGCAAGTTTTTTTTAAGATTTAAATGTTTTTAAACACCGAAATTGAGAGAATGTTGTCTAGTGGCGTCATGTGGCATATGTTTATTTTAAGACATCTAAGTGCCTTCACACAAAAACTTGCAATCATATTGTTCGTCAAAATGACCGTTGGGAGGCCAACTGTGCTTGCCTGTGGAGTTCTGCGATTAAAAAGGTATTTTATCGTATTTATCGCTGTGGTGTAATGGTAAGCAGTGCGCGCTTCCACTCCGTAGCCCTGGTCAAAATAACATCACAAAAAAGAAACAAATGTAGAAAAAAGGTTTTTTCTTAACAGCGGTCGCGCCTCGGCAGGCAACAGCAAACCCTCAGAGTATATTTGTGCCATGAAAAACAGCTTCTAATTAAAATACAATCGCCGTTCGCAGTCAGCGTAAAACTTTAGGTCCCTCCCCTTTGCCTGACAACATCAAGGCCAACACCACAAACCGGAATAGCCTGGCCAAGCACTAACATATGTGTAAGCGCCAATCTATTAATTATTATTTCATTTCATTACAAATATATTAAAAAGCAAATTTCGTTTAGAAGAAAATATGAAATTGTATATTTCCCCCCTAAACTGCGATTGATTTCCTCCCGTTCTTCTTCTTATTCCACTGAGCTAAGACAGTATCAAATCGAGCTTACACCTTGTATTAGGTTTGTTCTTTTACAAATGGTCCAGTAACTTGCCAGTAACTCTCCAGTAACTTAATTTCTTAGAATTCGCTCTGATACGACAAAAGTACCAGAATGCAAAAACAATAATAGGGCATGTTCGAGGCACGTAATAAAAGAGGCAATACTGCAGCACTGATGAAAATTTGCAATACTGTTGCAACTTCCCAACTGATAAAACGTTGCTAGAAATTAACACCGAACGTAATACCTTAATAATTCGTGCAATACTGCAGTTGAGATTGCATCTCGAACAAGCCAATAATTGCAAGTTTTCCGAACAGCTGATTAATTTATTGTTTATTCGCAAGTAATCCCTAATAAAATAAATATTATATTTAAATAGGCTTTATTTTTTCAATTTCAACTACGCAAAACCCATACAGGCAGGTTCTGCAATTCACTTTCCAGTGAATTTCAATCAAACTCGCTTCGAATTCAAATTGGCAGGGGTTGAAATTCACTCGGAAGTGAATTGCAGAACATGCCCGATAAGCATTTCTTTTACTAGTTTCAATTGCACCCAACAACATGCGATCAGCTGTTTTTCTCACTTGCAAGTTCTTACTAGTAAAAAAAGTATCCAGTAAAAACCAGCAACTTCTCATCAAAAAGAAATGTCACTTTGCGCTCTGAATTTATCCTTTTTTAATGTACAAGAACACCAAAACGTGATAGTAAAAACTGGTACAACTATCGCGTAGAAGAACGCTACTGTTATTGCATCATGAACATGTGTGGCTCATAATTAACAGTTTAGAAGCCACATACTTCGTCGTTTTCACTTATTCAGCGACAGCAAATGAGGTGCGCCTAAAAGCGCGGCAACGCCGGCATTTCCTACGCCAAAGTATAGAATGAAGATACAGAAATTTTGCCTTTGTTTTGAGCCGCCATTTTTAAAATTGAGAAAAACCGAGCAAATGTGATAAAAAATAAACACAAAAGGCAAGTATGAAAAAGTAAAGAATACAGGCTATAAAGCGTGATTCTATTGCACATATGCGCAAAAAGAGCGAACATAACCTCACTTTAGGAAATAATGTTAAAGAAAAATGTGACTATGTAGGAGGGATGTATTCATTGGGATAGATACATAAGCATTTACATACATATATACATGTACTTTAATGTACGAATCAATAGTATGCATATACATAGATTAAAGTATTAAAGGCATAATGTATCACATATTTGTGTGTAGACACAAAACGCCAATATGCCTACGTATTACAAAGTACCATTAAGTATTAATTTGATTTAATATATACTCAACGCGTTTATTGGAAGGAAATACAAAAAAAAATCAGTAAATTAAGTACCCATAGAAATGCAAAAGCCCCAGCAAAGTACAGTCACACACACGCGCAAAAACAGGCACGGAGAAAACATACATACATGCGCACCTTCAAATGGCCCAGACGAAAAAATGGCAGCCGTCTAGAAGCGGAGCGCTAGATACTACCCAGTTCCTACTTTACCCTTTGCAATTTTTCTACTCTTATCTAGCTCGCTAGGCAAACACGCATTTACGTAACACTATAAATATACCTTTATACTTGATTTCCAGCCCTCTACTTAAAATTTTCAAGACATATGCATATGTATGTATTTTCCTTATTTCTTTTATAAGAGATATTGTATAGTTAAAAGCTTGCTTCAAGACTTACCTATCATCATCCCGAGCATTTGACTGACCCTCGCCGTTACCATTTGTACCATTGGTGCCGGTACCATCATCATTCGTGGTGACGTCTTTTGAAAAATCCTCACCGTTCATCTCGACGTCGTTGTTCTTGTCAGCCATTTTATATATTTATATTAGCTGTATAGCGGGCGTACACTGGATTACTTTTAATGTAAATTTTAAAATATTGCAACTTTTGAAATCTATTTTTTTGAGAATTAACACAAATTTGCAGACTCGTGGCGAGCCGTACTGACTGCTGTAATGGCCGGAAGAGACAAATGCGAAAATTGGTTGTTCGTATCCGACTTCGTGCTTGTGCTGAATATGGGAAATCACGTGCTGAATTGCATCATATAGCTTATCTCCTCTGCTGGCTCTTTCTAATACCCCATATTACCATCAGGCTTGCCAGAGTTTTTATTATGGACAAATAACATTAAAATAAAAGCGCTTGTTCACTTATAGGGACCTTCCATGGTCAAACTACGTACACGGCTGATTCAGGTAATACAGCAGAGCAAATATAACCCTGCCATGTTGCTTGAGAAACGAATGTCAAAACAGAAAGAAATGAAAGTCTCCTTTCACACACGTCAAGTCTTGAAAGAAATTTTTATCTCATTCTCTTTTGTGTTTTCTCTTTGCTTCCACACGCATCAAGTTTTATTGAATTCAACTACTTGTTCTTTAAACGGGAAGCAACGAAAAGATCAAAAGAGAACAAGAAAACTTGAAACGAACTGATGGTACGGAGGTATCTGTACTCTTTCCCTCTCTTCCCACCTCCTTCACCAACGAACGAGCAGACTTGAAAGCAAGACTTGACGTGTCTGAAAGGGAGGAGGGTTTCCTTGCTAGCGTCCATTTTTGTTTACTTTTGCATTTGCCATTTCTCCTCTTCTTCGCAAAAACAATCGATAAAATCAGGATGGACACCGAAAAGTTATCGGTTAAATCTGAGATTATTTTATAATTACAGATTAACAAGGGCGGAATTTTATATGGCTAATCTCTTTTTCTAATTACAGGTTAGGAAGTTAAGCTCAAAAATTAGGATTATCTACTTATATGTAAACCTAGTATAACCTTGTATTATTGAATCATGGGGCCCTGTCACACGGTCAGTAGTTATCACGTTATTTGGATCGCGATCCAGTTTGATGGATCGCGTACGAGTGCTACATGTTCAATATTTATCGCTTCCGTATTTGCATAATTTTTGTGCTGACGCAAGAAAATATCTTTCTTTTGTGTGAATAATTTGCGGATGCACTCCACAATTATTTTAAAATTTCCCATGTTAATTAAAATTTTTTCCATTTGTTTTGAAAGGTTCTAAGCAACGCGAACCAAAGCATAGCGAATACGTTTTCGATGTTCGCATTATGAGAATACAAGATGTACTGACGAAATGTATGGATCGCGTTTTGAAAGTGCTACACGTTCAATATTTATTGACGGAAAGTGTTTTGAAATTTTGCGATATGGATCACGATCCATCAATACTGCACGCTACACCGTCAATAAATATCGCGATACTTGGATCATGTCAATAAATACTGACCGTGTGACAGGGCCCATGAAGTGGATGAATACTGCGAACAGCGAGAGAATGAGAGAATGTGCGATAGACGGCAGAACGTTCTAGAGCATGAATGAAAGACGCAAGATCACGTAAGAACAAGAGTGAAAAAAGTCGATTTT